CGGGAACGAGGCTCCGCACCGCCTCCCCCCCTCCCCCACCCACGGCCGCGCGCCGGGCCCGACCCGGCGCCAGGCGGGCCCCGAGCCCCCGCCGGCGGCACCGTTCGGCCGCCGAACCCCCGGGCGGGCCCCGCCGCCGCTCGCCCGCCCGCTCGGCCCGCTCGCCCTCTCCGCTCACCGCGAGCCTCTCGCGCACCCCTGGCCGTGTCCCGGCAGCCGCTCGCGCCGGGCAGGACGCGCCTCCTCCCTCACAGCCGAGCCGTCCGGCGGGCACACACCTGCGCAGCGCCCACGGGCAGCGGAGCGTCCGGGCCGCGCGACTATCGCGTTACCCGCGTCGCGCGCCGCCTCACACCCGCCTGGGCGGCCCCCGCGCACGCGCGGGGCACGGGGGAAAGGGAGAAGAGAGAAGGTCGCGGGGGAGGCGCGGTGTTTGGGGGGGGGGGGGGGGAGCCCGGCGGGGCGGTGGATGGGAGCGAAGGCGCATGCGGGGTAGGGGAGGGGGCGTTCCCGCCTTTTCCTCTCGCCGCCTCCTCCGCTGAGGGGCCGCCCGGGCGCGTGCGCGCTGCTGCCTCCGTCTCGCGGCCGCCGCCGCTCGTTTTGGCGCCAAACGGGAGCGCGCGCGGGGCCCCCCGGGTTAGGGGTACGGCGCGCGCGTGCCCGGGCATCGCCTCACGCCGCCATTGCCCTCACGGCAGCGGCAGCGGCGGCGGCGGCGGCAGCGGCGGCGGCCCGGTCGTGCTCTGGAGCTTTTGTTCCGCTCAGCGCGTCCCTCTCCCTCAGCGCAGCTTCGGGAGGGAGCGAGGATCAGGAAGGTTGCCCGGTGTGGGCGCACGCAATGGCTGCCCGCGTCTCTCTCCTCAGCGAACCTGCCGATCCCGCCTCCCTCAGAGCGGGGCACACCGGGCCGGGCGCTGTGGTGAAAGGGCTCGTTGAGGCCTTCAGGGGCTGGTGGTGAGCGAGGCTAAAATGTGTGTTTTAATTAAAAAAAACAAACAAAAAACAAACAGTGCGGAGCGCTAGGGGCGTGGGAAGGATTCTCAACACTTGTCGGCGCTAGGAAATGACGGGATGGGGCCGCTGGCTCCGCCTGCCGTCAGGAAAACATTAACTTGGAGTTGTGCTGTCGGTGCGGGTAGAACAGGTTAGATAGAGACCTTTACAGAGCACAGCCTGCGGCTAAACAGGTGCACACGACAATGCAGATCCCACTTTTTACGGTCGATGCATTTACAAACCGGCCATTTTCTGGAAATCCTGCGGCAGTTTGTCTGCTTGAAAATGTAAGTTTAAAAAAAAACCAAACAACCCAGCTGTTCTTAAAGGTACTGCAATGACATTTGCCATTCTGTACTTGACCTGAGCACTCTGCACTGCATCAGACTTTGCTTTGCTTTTACCAGACTTGTTTGCTGTGGCAAATACAGAGAAATTAGCACTGGGGTGCTCTTTTTTTTCATCAAAACTATGTCGTATAAGACAACCTTTGAATTTTTTGTGGGCTGTTAAAAACGTTTTATTAAGGAATAGATTGGATTTATTTTGAGTTAAGTCAAGAAAAACGGCTTAATTTCTTCAAGAATGATCCAGAGTAAAGTTTCTGAAGGATTAGGAAGGATTCAGAGTGAAATCTGAAAAGTAATGCTGTAGAACAGAATGAGTACTCAGTAGAGGGATTAAACTATGGGGTTTGCTTTTGGATTTTGGTGTGGGCTTTCTCCGCTTTTTTTCTTTAATTTTTACTTACTCTGAAAAGAAAAAGAGCAGGTATAGACCTGCATATGAGTCTTCTACCATTAGTGTGCTGTGTTCAGCTTTAGCCAAGTTTCAACAACCAGTTCTTACTGCTTCAGTGTTGTGTGGTGGTTTTGGTGCAGTTATCCTCATCAGGCTGTTGTGAACAGTTGAGTCTAATTGGTTCTGATTTCTAACAAAAATAATTACTGAGGTGGATTAGAAATGTGCAGCCCTTGTTTTGTTTGTATAGTAACTCCCAATAAAAATTGTAAATATGAAAATATATGTAGAGTAGCCAATGGCAACAGCTTGCAATCACAATATGAATCCTTTCTAGATGTTCCTAAGTCTGTTTAAATCTCATATAACATTGCCTGTTTACCAAATCAGCTAAAGGTATGACTGGGAACATCTCTCTTATTTTTGGCCCCATAAAATCGAAATACTCTCCAAATTATCTCTGCTTTAAAATTATGAGCTTCTAATAGCATTTTTAATATTAATCTTACTTTATTAAGTTAAGATGTTGTGAAGCCACCTAACTTGCATGCTGACTTTGGAATGCAGGCTTTTAAAAAGTTTTTTCTACAGTTCCTGTAGAAGTAGTAAAGGCTTCAGTGTGACAGTGAAAGCTGAGGTCCTAATTTCAGCATTTTATTCTAAGATTGAGGAAAGTGTGATGCAGCCATGAAAAACAACTGTTCTCTGCTCCCTCCAGAGTCTCAGCAGATGCTTTACAGAAAAAAAAATCAGGAGAAATGCAGGAATGACAAAACCAGTCCTTTCTGTGTTTCAGAGGTGCCACAGGATGGCAGTATTTCAATAAAGTTCCATGTTATTTAAAAAAAAAAAAAAAGTTATTTTTAATAACATTTTTACTGGTCTTTGTTCTGGTCTAGGGTCTTTACAGTAACTGACAGAACTGTTCCTAGGAGAAAGGGAATGTGAAGTGTTAGAATGTTGTTTAACTGTACAGAATTCAGGCTGCAAGCACAGCTCTAATGTACTAATCAATTATTGGCTGGAAAGGATTCGTTATTAAAAGAAGTAATTCGAGTTAAAGGAGCACACTTTTATCTCTCAGAGGCTGAACCTGATCAGGTCCCTTATGTACTTTGTTTCTCTTGAGTTTCAATATTTTCAAGATGAGATTCTCAAAGCTGGCCAGTCAGCATAACCGTGGGCTAAGAGCAGTGGGACGTGGGCCAAGGAGGTTGTTACACAATCCCTGGGGCTTGGGTATCTTGGGATCAATGTCCACTGCCTTCAATCCCAGGCACTCAGTGAGCTCCAGCACTTTGCTCTATTTTCTCCCCAGTTTGTCTCTTCTCAGCTCCTGCAGAGGGAGCACATAGTCCCACTTCAAGTTTTTTTTTTTACTCTCAGAGATTATTTCGAATTAAAACTGAAACTGCGTTTTATTATAATAGAAAAATTAAATTACTATTTCTGCATTTGACAGAAAGCTTGATTCTGCATTTTTTTGCCTGCTCTTTATTTGATTTCTTGTTTCATCCCTAGGACTTGGATGAAGATTCCCACCAAAAAATTGCAACAGAAATGAACCTTTCAGAAACAGCTTTCATCAGAAAATTGAAACCTGGAGATGACTTTACCAAAAGTTAGTGGTTCTGTTTATAAGAAAACATCAGATAAACGCAGAGTTTGTTCACACTCACTCTGTGGATTAATTTTCAGCTGAATCAGTTTGCAGTTGTGTGGTGGCAGGAGCCAAGGGGCTGGGACTCCACTAGTCTGGACTTAGATTCCAGATTAAGGTGTCTGTCATCTTTGTTGTTTGATGGATTGTTCAGGGAGTAAAATTTTGTACTGTCTCTAATTTAAAACATTAAGGGAAGTAGCAACTATAATTGCTTGCTCCTGTTGTTAATAAATTGGAATTTATTTTAGGGTTAGACTGATCACTTGGAGCAAGAAGTGATAATACTTTTCATTTTTCATGTTTGCACTTTGCCAATATGTTTCACACACTTACTATCAGGTCATCCATATCTGACAGCATAAAAAATGCCAGCTTCTTTATCATTACAGTACTTTTGATACTAGTGGGCTGGGCCCAGGGGGTTCCACCACAAGGTGTTATTTGGTTTATATTTGTTTTCATTAGAGGGAACTGACTTTAATGCACTAATTCTCCATAGTAGCAATGACAAGAGTTGTTTGGATTTAAAAAAAAATTGTTGCTTTTCCACTTCTAGTTATGTTTGTGTGGTAATTAGTCACTTGAAATACGTGTGCAAAAGTTACAGGAAACCAAGTATCACACATGAGTGTTCCAGATTTTTTAAAGAGCAAATAGAAATATGATTCCTAGTGAAATGAAGGGTCAGTAGACATTAGAGACTTCTGCCAGACTTGACTGGTGGTTTAAGCAAAATAATTCACACCTGAGCTAAGTCCAGTACAGGTTCTGTTATAGCAACAAAACCATCTATGATTTCTAAATGGCCTGCAGGTATATGCACATCATGACTGTGCCTTTGCAGGATTTCAAAATGCACAAGGGCATGGAGGCTTTAACTTCTAAATAAAACCTGGTTAGGACAAAGAAGAATCTGTGCAGCATGCAAAGGTTGTTGACCTGATTCAAAAGGGATAGCTGTTCTGAAAAATCAGCCTGAAATGGGTACTTAAAGTGTGTTTAGCACCAAAACTGATTGTAACGTGCATTTTGATTAGCTGAAACATCATCACTCTATGTGTGTTGAGTTCAAATGAAGAAATAGATGTCTTCCATTTAATAGCACTAAAGAAACTTTATTTTTTCAAGGTTCCTGCTTTGGGCTCAGATGGTTCACCCCAGTCAGTGAGATTCCTCTCTGTGGTCATGCTACTCTTGCATCAGCTGCTGTGTTATTTCATGTACAAAGTAAGTTTACAACCGAGGTATTACTACAATTTTTTAGAACATTTACTTCTGATTAACACCTCTATATTTTAAGACAAAGGCAATTAAAAATTCAGAGCATCTGTAGAACACAAATGGAGAGACCCTGGGCATTGCCTTTTACTACTGCTCTGTAGTTACAAGGCTGTAGTCTGATCCCAGTGCCCTGCTATTACTCCTGTTTAAAAAAAGTGCTAAATATGCAAATGTCATCTGGGAGAGGTACAGGAGGATTTGATGAATAGGGAATATTGCTCTTTCTGTTAAAAGGACATTCCCATTCATATGCAGGAATGATTCCCTGACAATTGCTGTGTTTTATAGCTTCAGCAGGTTTATTGAGTTAGTTGGGAGTTTTGCCCAGAATACAGTGTTACTCCAGATATATTTGAGCTGCATAACTAACTTTTTCTGAATATATTGAGCTACTCCCAGGGCTATAATAATTTAGGTTAAAATTCTTATGTTTGATAACGTTGCAGTGTTCTCTCTCTAGAAAATACAAATTCAGTTATCACGTTTGTGACACTGAGTGGGGAATTAAAGGCCAGACAAGTGAAAGATCATATTGTCCTGGACTTGCCACTTTGCCCAGCCTACCCCCAGGTTAGTCAAAATTTTATTCATGATAGGCTTTCAAGGAAAGTATCTGTTTGTATGTGTATGTCAGTATATGTGTCTGTCTGTAGTTGCATAGGTACATACATATATAATCCATTTTTTATAGTGTGGCTTTTTTTTTTTTTTTTTCAGGAACTTAAGGAGGTAGAAGAATTAATAAAGGTAAAAAAAGAATCTATCAGTTTATAATTGCTTCACTTTTTTTTATGTACTAAAATGGCTAAAAAATGGTGATTGCTCGATGTACTCCTGAATTTGAAACACCAAACTTCAAAGCTCTCAGTAATGGGTCAGTAGGTCAGGGGATGAAATTCTCCAGAATGCTGCAGCTGAATCTGTGTCTCCCATAACCACTGAGTGAAGCATCAATATTTATTTCAATGGCATCTTCAGCCTTTTGTGTGCCTGAGAGGGCAGTCTGCATCCTTGCCCTCCTCTAGGTCCTGGATGTCTTCCCAAATTGACTTGTGTGGGGCTGGTCACTCACCCATAACCATTCATGCACTTGGTGCATTTGCTTTTCTTACTTGAGGGTTGCATGGAAAACCTTTATGAGCCCTCTTGTAGCAGGGAGTGTGCTCTACAGAAATGCTCAGGGAATATTATTTTCTATTCAAGTGATGGCAGTTTTCTTTCCTGTCTCCTTTGCCTCTCCCACCAGGCAGCTGTTGGTGACCTGAGTGTTCAGGATGTGCGGTACTCCCCCGAAACCAAGAACCTCTTAGTCTGTCTCAGTGATACTTATGGAAGGTATCTCACTCTCTTGTAATTTTGTTCATCAAGAATGCAGAAATTGAGTTGGCCTGTTGAATCTCTGTTCCTTACATGCTAGGCTTTTTTATCTAGTTTTATATCAGGTGGAGATTAAAAAGCTCTGATTTAAATTTCTGTGTAAAGTGGTTATTATATCGTTTAATATGAGCTTATTGAAGCTGCAAAGCTGAATAAGATCATTCTGAAATCTGTCTTCAAGAGAAGGAGGTGTAGGAAACAGTTTTAATCATAGTGTGTTTTTCCCATCCATCTGAGTCTAAAGATGATCCAGTAACCTGGCAGAAATTTGGGAGTCCTGCTTCAGTTCAGGGCACATTTGACAGAATGCCAGGGATTCTTACTTCCATTGGACTGTAATCTGCTTACACATGCTTAACAGCACCATAAGGAGCTTTAGAGAGCAAATTCCCATTCAAATTATTCCAAAGCATTTCTGAATTTCATTGTTCATTCAAGTATGATTTAGGTATTTACTGCCAAAACTTCTTTAATCAGGCCAAATTACTATTATTACAAACTTGGAGTTTGACTTAAGTAAGTCTGGGGTAGTAGGGAAAAAGAAATAGTCTCAACTGAGTACTTCTTATTTCAGTTTTTCAGACTGTTTTGTAGGGAGGAATCAGCCAGTTGTAGACTGCTTTAGAATGCCATGAAAACCTGAATGATGTTAGTTATTTGCCTGCTCTGAAAGGAGGTGGAGCACTTGGTACATTCTGTAGGTGATTTTCTGTCAAATACCATTAGGAAGACAATGCTAGCAATCTTGTATCCCTTAATATTTTAGGGCTGATTTTGAATTGTAGATAAGACGATTCTGTAGCTTTATTTTTCTTTTCAATACTTATGTTCATGTAAAATGAAGAATATGGGCTATTAAAATTTCATAATTATGTTCAAGGTCTGTGCTGGAAGAACTGAAAGTGAGTGCACAACACTTTTTGTCAGTTGAAAAGACAGGAAAAGTGAAAGGACTCATACTCACTGTTAAGGGAAATTCCAGTGGAAATGGCCATGATTTTTACTCCAGATATTTTGCACCTTGGTATGGAGTTCTGGAAGACCCTGTTACAGGTATGTGTTTGTATGATAAGCAGCTCCTACTTCTGTTTCAGTTCAATTAAAAGGTTCTTATTTAAATTCCTTGATCTGTTTTTGTACTTTGGGGTCTCTTATAAATTACTGGTTTAAATGGATAGCAGGGTGCTCATTAAACAAAAAATTTTAATGACTGAGGCCAACTCATTCAGAAAAAAATCAAATCAGCTTCTTGCTGTCATTAGACCAGATATTCTTGTGTCTTTTTCAGATCTTTTTCCCTCAAGCATTACAATTAGAGAAAACTGAAAGACTAGTTCAGTACTGGATGAGTATTGCAGTGGAGATTTATATCCTCTTCTCTTGTGTTCTTTTCTATTACTTCTTGTGGAAGTAATACTGCTTTACAATAAATGGAAATTATAAAGCCTTAAGTTCTATCTGCTGTGCAGACTCTTAGGTTTTTTTTTTTTTACCCTAAACACGCATGGCACTTGATTTATGATATTTACATTTTGACTATGCTTACTCTGTAAAGTAGTGATTGTAATTTAATTCTGTACTTCATTTTCCAATTTCTTTTAAGGATCTGCTCATGCTGTTTTAAGCAGCTACTGGTCAGAGCAGCTGGGGAAGAAAGAACTGCTTGGTAAGATAAAGTGTTTTATTGCAAAGCTGTCCATTTATGTAAATCCACTCACTAGAAAAGAAAAAGGTTGTATTACTACTGCAATCCCTATCCATTTTCTCAAGAGGAATAGAATATTATGTAATATTTTGTGTGTGAGGTAATCTTTGAGAAATTGCTTTCTTTCCTATCCACCACCATGACACATCATAGCCCAGGGAGTTTGAAGTGTTGGTTTCTGGATCATAACTCTGCAGTCAGTTTTTGATCTTGGCTTTTGGATTTTTGTTCTCATGACCTTTCATCCTAACTGAAGCTTGGTGAACCTCAGGGGATGTTGTTTATGTGTTTTGATTGAACCAATGAGATATCCTTATTAGATCACATCTTTGTTATTAAACAAGAAACTTGAGAACCTGGTGGAAAAAAGCCAAGAGCAGCTGTTAATATATGACTGTGTTATATGAGGAGATGTTGGGTGACTCCTTGCTTCTCCTGTTTCTAGTGCTTTGCCAGAGAACAGAATAACAATACAAAGAGAAACAATAAAAAATCATCCTCATCCCCTGCCTGGTTCCCCAGGAGAGGACAGGGGCAATTCTGCTCACAAGCCTCTGGTCACATTTAGTTTAGAGCAGAGGGTTGGATATTTGATCTACAAAAGTTCTTTGTCCATAAAAGTAAACACTTTTCCAAACAAACAGCTACCCTGAATATAAGCCTTCCTGTATTTGGTCAAATGAAACTCAAAGTGGATTTTCTTGAGGATGGTAAGTCTTTAAAGCATCCACCATGAACAGGACCTTCTTCTCCATTGTGAACTGAAGGAAAGATTTAACATTCTGTCCCAAAAATCTTGTATTTGCATTTATACCACACAGTACCTGTGATGGGTTAAATAATGCTTAGGGGTGGGGGTGAAAATCTCAACATATTTTCTGAAGATGGAAAACTGTCTTTGGTAATGTATCCTTACATTTTCTGAGAAGATTTTGACATTTTTGGATGTTTATGTGGAATTTAAACTCTCCATGCCATCCATAGACACTGCTTCTTTAAGTACTCAAATAGACTGGAATTCTGTCTATACCTAAAATTGACACTTTCTACCTGTTTTGCATTTTCATATATTTTGTATGTACTGTCCCTATTCTGCTTTTAGAGAAACTACCTCAAGCAGCCAGGGCACCTGATACTGTAATCAGCTTCTCTAATGTGTTTAGCACCAAAAAAGTCCTATCTGTCCACAAGATAGCTTTGTGGTTTTTTTGTTTTTGTTTTTTTTTTAAATTCATCTTCCATGCATATATGTACTTAAACTTCTGTGGTAGGAATCATATGGAACTGTTTTAAATAGGACAAGTTAATTTGATGTATGTTTAAGAGAAAAGAACTTTTCCTTACATGTCTGGGAGGCATCAGGTAAATTCTACTACTACTAATGAGAATATTTGGAGAAGACAGCTGGCATTCAAGGACATTCCACATCACCAAATACTAATAAATAAGAGAATCTTTGGACTTCTTAGAAACCTCTGTGGTGGCTTCTGTAATATCCAATACTTTTTATTGCAAGAATAAAGGCAGAATTTCATCCATAAAATGAAGGATCTGTCAGTTCCTGAATAGATTACATATAAAATAATATCAAAATGAGGAATATGAAATCTATTGTCAGATCTCTCTGGCTATTGAGGCCTTTAGGAGGAGGTCAGCTGCAGCTCTGCTGAAGCATCAGACTTAATTTCCTGTGTTTGGGTTCTCTGCCTACTTTTTTTTAGACTAAATTGTCAAACAACAACCACCCCACCAATTACTAAGAGAATTTTCCAGTGCTTTTATATGGTGAAATACTTTATGATCTTTTCTTGAAGCTGGGTACATGTCCTTGAATTTAAGCTGCTTGTTCAATCAGGGTTTTGTATCAGTCTTTGCCTTTCTTTCATTGGAGGAGTCTGTGCAATGTATAAAAATTAAAATCTCTCAGATGTATAGACTTCCACAGTTGCTGTTGAATGCAGTGTATGACAACTCCCTGTGTATCCAGCCCTTCACACTGTGTTCATTTTTCTAAGGTAACATTTATAAACATGCATGAGGAATTCCATACAACCAGACAAATTAGAGAGGACTTCCCAAATTATTTTGATGAGAAAGGGCTTATCCATGACAGTTTTTATCTCAGATTAAGATCAGGGAATCTTGATATACCAGTTTACCTGGGACAACTGTATTAATTTGTGGGGAAATTTTGGTTTTGTTACTGCCTTTAACTTACCTGATTCCTTCCAGTACAGAGCAGGTTTATAGCAATTAAAGGTTGTTTTTTGGGGGGCAGAAATGAAACAGAAATTACCACCAACATTACCAACAACAACCAAACACACAAAAAGACAGAAGAAGTTGCTTCATTAAGGTACAATATATCTACCTGTATTTAAGTTTTTGCTAATTGAATTCTCATGAAATCAAAAGTTTTTATTGCAGCTTTCATCTTTTCCAAGTAACCTCAACACATAGATTGACAACATCAGATTTATGCACAAGTGTAATATTTCTTCAAAGGAGAGGTGTTTCCCTCCATCAATCACCAGATTTGTCAACCTTCTTTCTTAGGATAAAAAAAAGCCTTGGAGATCTTCCCTTAGGTTAAGGAACAAGTGCTTCCTTCAGCATTCCTCTATAGGGTTTAGAAATTCAAACAAAATACTAGTGATTTCTTAAAATAAATATTATTACAAGAGTGTCACTTTTTCCTGAGTTGATGTCATTCTGATGACATTATGAAGCCAGACCATTAGTCCTTAAATTCATTAAGCCTGAGTCATTGATCTCCATCTCTAGGCTGGTAAGAAGCTCTGAAACAACAGGATAATGTTCATGGAAGTCCAGCAGCTGCTGTGTGGGTGCAGGGGGTGTCATACTGTGCCATCAGCATCACAGGCCTTGTGGCTGCTCCTCAGCTTTCCTGTGTGCCAGGTTAACCCCAGAGGAGCCCAGGCCACTGGCACTTCAGCTGTCAGATGTTGTTTGTGCACTTGTACATCCTTGTTTTCATAGAAAATAAGCATAAATCTGCATAGAGTATGAGGTATTCCTGGTAAATGCAGGCATGGAATAGGGGTGCAGCAGCTTTGTGATCTGAAAGGTGAGTGCACTTCAGAGCTGCCTGGATGCCTCCAGAGGCACTGCTGTTAAATGAAATCCTCTAGGTACTGAAATGTTCCCTGCAGGCCTGTCTACTCTTGGACATAGCATGAAATATCAGTGCTTTTGTGTGAGAGAAGGAAGAGATCAAGTATTATTTTTACATAAGCTTGCCTAAAACTTTTTTTTTGTGGGTTATTTTTTGTTTTTCTTCTGCTTTGGAGGTTTCTTTAAAAGTAAAATGAAATGGACTAATATCAAAACAATCTTAGTAATCCTGACATGAAAGAACTAGAGTTTAACATTTAAAGAAGAAAAAACCAAACCCAACCAACCTTTGAAGTGATGAAATAATTAATCTCTTTTATTTAAATCTGCTATGATGTGGGAGTGGAAGAGCTTAGGTGTGTCTCCATACCTGGCAATAATAATTGATCAATTTTAGCTGACCTGGGTCTTTTAAGAGTCTAAAATATTCAGGTGAAGCATTACTCCATTCATAGATGATGTTCTGACAAGTTAGGAGCAACCCATGGCTCTATAAATGGACAAGAACAGAAAGTGTCAATCTCTATCTCTGAATAGCTGCTGTTTCCACTCTTTCAGAGTGCTTGCTTTGTCTGAGAATCTAATTCCTGATCAAAGAAGAGCTTTCTTAGCAGCAGTGGCTGGAGAAATAGCTTTAAAGGATACAGCATATGAGATATGTACAGCATACATCAGAGAACCTGTGCTCTGTTGGGATCTGAATACAACCTCTACTCAATTCCTAAATTGTGGGTTTGAGAGGAAAAACGTCCTCTTCAGCTTTGGACGACTTCTGGAGCAGTTGGAAGTTCATTGAATAGAGACTGAACATTATTGCCTCTTTATCTACTTCTCAAAACTCAAACCTTTCCTGAATGCCATCTGAGCCAGACCATTTTCTGGTCAAGTCATGCAACTAAAATGAGACTGCTGGAACGAGTTAGAGACTCCACATGCTAAGTGAGCATCATCCCTCCTGTGTACAGCTCAACAGTTCAGGCAAAAACTTAGTTCTCTTAGCAACTACAAGCAGAAGGCTGCTTCCACTTCCAGTTTATCCAGCTGTATTAAATTATATCTTCAAGATTCTATAAATCAGTATTTGTTGGTGCCTGTGTAAGAATTTGATGTCTGTTTGTGACTCTGTTTCTTTGTAGAATTTTCCCACTGCCTTTGTGAGTTTATTCAGCCTTTAGCCAGGCACATTCTTTAAGTGCAGTATCAACTTTGGGTGTTCAGTGCCCGGGAAATCATTATTCATTCTCATTCAGCTAATGCTTGGTGTTCTTCCTTCTTCCCACCAGAAACTGTATCCCATGAAGGGAGAATTCGAGACTTCTTAGATACACAGAAGAAACTTAATTTGCTACAACAAAGCAAACTGCCCCTCGCTGCTTGCATTAAGTAGCAGTTTTGTCAGACTCAGTGGGCAAAGTCTAGTTGGGAATAACCCTCAGCTGACCTTCATCCATAAAGGCAGTGCATCCAGGGTGTCCCTCGTGCACTGTTTGCCCTGGTGCTGCTTGTTTTCTGCAGCCAGAAGCCTCCTTTCCCTGAGCTTCCATGGATTTCTAAACAATCAGTGATGCTCACTGGTTTTTAACTGCGGGTTCTTGTTTCTGTTTAGCTTTTCAATGTTCCCGCCGTGGAGGAGAGTTGAAGATTTCTGTTCGCAGTGACGGAAGAGTTGACATTGCTGGGCAATCTGCTGTTGTGTTAAAAGGAAACCTGACTTTGTGAAAGAGCTCCCTCTCTCACTAATCACTCACCTTTATGTTCCTCTGATTATGCTGATTTTATCTTCACTCACCTTTATGTTCCTGTGATTATGCTGATTTTATCTTCACTCACCTTTATGTTCCTGTGATTATGCTGATTTTATCTTCACTCACCTTTATGTTCCTGTGATTATGCTGATTTTATCTCAGCTCTAGGCAGTGAATTACTACTAGCCTCAAAAGTCTTTGATTACTAATTGCCCGTTTTTAAAAATTGTTTGAAAGTACTCACTTCTGATCTTCAGGATCCTTGGTGTTCTTCCCTTCCATCTTGTCACTTCCAATGTGTACTGACCTGTGAAAATGTTGAATTCCAGCTATCTGGTTTTTCTGCTTTTAAATTATTCTTCTATTTATTTCCAAACTCCATGCTAAAAGCCCTTAGTGCTTCCTGGATTAAACTGTAAGCATCTGTTTGATAGTCAAACTTTTCCTATAGAGATAATTTTTCATGAAATCTGAATTCATTAAAAAAAAAAAAAGATACTTTTTCAGCTACATATTGAAATGACAGCCGTGTTCATTAACTTACTTGAATTAAACTATGAAAAAATACAAATGGTTTAGAAATGTGCCTTGTGGTTCTCTTTTATGAACAGAATTTTTCAAAGTCAGATAGTATTGCCTTTGATTATAGCACTGCTGCTTAGTCAATACGTTTAATTAAAGGTTTAGAAGAAAGATTTAACAGATTGACCTTGTGATACACATAAAGGTGATTAAGATCTGAAAGGAAACTCGATTGGTTACAGCAATGTCACTTATTTTTCAAAACCTGAAGATTTTCTCCTAGACTGAAAGTTTCTTCCATAGTCTTAGTGAAGTATAATGCTTCAGATTTTGTCACCATGAGGTGGTCTCTCACTGGATTTATTAGGAATATGGAACTTTCAGGTACTCTAGCTGAAATTGTTTTCCCTTTCAAGTGACCTCTGTCCTAAGCTTTGCTTTAGTTCTTTGCAATATTTCAGGGTGATGTGTTTTGAATTAAAAAGATTCAAAATTCAAAATATTCTAATGCTATGGGAACAGCTGGATGTCATCCCATTATAAATCATGAGGAACTTAGTTGTGCCAAGTTCCCTTTTTTCCATTTATTTTGAATTTTATCAGAACTTGTTACTTACATCTTACTTAAGTCCAAGTAGCTGGATAAGTAACAGTGTGAGAATCTTAATTTAAATAGAAAATTCTATCTTCAGCTACAAAGAACATACCAAAAATGTGATTTAAATGCACTACTCAGCTTGGGGGCTAGGTGGCAAGCAAAAGGAATCTCCAAATGGAAATGCCCGTTCTTCTCCTGTATTCATTCTTGCTGAAGTTGGTGGAGTTGCAGAATGATTTATAAACATGGAGTCAGGTGCAAATCACAGCTGTGGAGGCAGCTTTAGCCCTGGCCTCCCCTCCCCAGCTCGGATTGTCCCCTGTCTGCCAGGGGCCTTGGACCTTGTGGAGCAGCAGGGCTGCACACTTGTGCTGCTGCATTGAATTTTTCCTGCTGGCTTAGGCCAAGACTGATTCTGGCCCCTAATCAGAGATGCTTGTGGAAAAAAAAAAACCACCTTCCTTAGGAGTATAAATGAGCTAAAGAACCATTTATTGTTCAGCCATCCACATTTAACAAATAGACACTACAATTCTTTTCTTTTACTCAAGAGGACTAATAATGAGCAAGGCCCATACATTTTAAACAGACTTGTTACCTAAATTTCCTGACCAAACTAATATCTTTGCTGCTTTAAGCATTTTTTAAAATAGTTTACTACTACTTTGTCTCTGTTTCTTTTCAAGATAGAAAAATCACCAGAGCTCAGGTGGGCAGCTATGCAGTAATGTGTTTGTAATCAACATATTAGTTAATCAGCCATGATTTATTAATGATGAATTAATTATACCTGATTGTGCAGTTCTGCTGCCTAAATGGAGCTTTAAAGGAGTTATTTTATTAATCATCATTGTCTAATTGCAGACACTTACAGAAAGATTGCTAATTAAACATGCAACCATATGCAAAGCAAGTAATGCTGCTGAGAGTGGCAAGAAAAGGAGCACTTATTTTCTGAGGAGCAACTTTATTCTCATGAAATATTGTGTAGCTGACCTGGTGATCCTGATTATTCACTAAGACTTATTCTAATTTATTGCACATTTTCAGTTAACAGTGAAGGAAATTAGTAGTTGTGACAAATTCTGTCCTCCAATACAAAAAAACAGTTTGTGCAAACTTAAAGTAAGATTATTTGGAATTTGTGTGGCCTTGTTTCACATCATTTTGCAAAGGATTTGTTCAGTGTTTCTGGTGCAGAGGATTTGCAGAACTGTTTTGTGCTGCTCTCTTCATGAAGACTTGTGGCATAGAGCTGTGTTGAACCAAGAGCAAATTACTGAATGAAGGGAAATACAATTCCAAAAATTCCTGTGCACTTGAGTGTTATTTATTGTGAGAGTTTCCAACACAAGCTTCAGGTCACTGTAGGGCTGGAGTAAATCCCTGACTAGATCCAGCAGCCCAGACATGAACATTTAAATGCCCATTTGCTTATTTTGCTGCTTTGGCATGTTCCTGTGCAGAGGCACAGCTCATGGAGGGGCCAGGAGGAAAGCACAGAGCCGTGAGGAAGGAGGCACAAGAAACAAGAAACAACAGTGAGCAACAGAAATAATAGAATTGTATTGCTATGGACATGAATGCAGAGCTAAAAGGGATGTAAATAAAATGGGAAGTCATTCTTGTATTCAGTAAGCCATTTAAAAGGGTTGCTTAAAGGAGTCATGAAAATACTTTGCATTTCTTTTGTGTTATTTAGGTGAGAATAGACAGAAAACATACATTAAAAGTTGTTATTAGATTTGAAAAGTTTTGCAAGAAGAAGAAATTAAAGACTTCATGAACGTGCACACAGCAAGAGGTCATAGAAAGGAGCCATGTGTTCCATAAGGGATGGGAAGGGAAATTAGCAACAGATGAGGCAGTAATTTCTGGGAAAGGAAAGATTTCTTTGTCTCAGTATTCATCAGAGTGACAGGGAAACACGCTGGGAACAGAGGGAACCTTCCCAGAAGTTAAAAAAAAAAATCCAAACCCTAAATTAAAATAAAGGGCGATGCTTGGTCAGGTAAAAATTAAATTAGTTCAATTAAAAACTGAAAAATCTGCCAATTAAGCACATTTTATTCTCACATCTATTTTTTTTCCCCAAGGAGTAAATCTATCTTGAAATTAATTAAGAGACTTAAACAAAAACACAGAGCAAGGGATTTTTGTCAATTGCTGAGTCACTGTCCTTTTATTCCCTGAAGTTTATTGCAAAGCATAAATAAAAATTTCCAAAGAATAGGGAAGTGAAAGATCAAAACCCAGCATATGACCAGATAGTTGATAGTGTATATGGATTTTTTTTCCTAGGCAGTCAATTTTAGACTAAGACATTTAGATTTAATGTCTAAACAGAATATGAACAAATAAACATTTCTGACTCTATTGGTTTCTTCAGTGAGAGGTGCACTTTGACTTGGGTTTTGCCTCACTGATTGGCAAAGGATATTCCTTGGGTTTTAATGCTGTGATTCATGTAAGCCCAAGTTTTATTCACATTGCAGTGTTCTGATCTTTTTTGGTGATACACCCAAATCAGGAATCTACTTTCCTCTATGTCATTTTTGTCCTGGTAAGAGTTACAGGTAAATAAAATACATGAGGCAAACCCAAGGGAAATTCTGCAGGGCATTTGTAGAATTGAGGAGAGGCAGAAGTTTTAAGGAGCTGGAGGTTTAATGGCTGTGTGGAGACTGCAATGTGAGCACCATTGAAACCTTGCAAGGACACTTTGGATGGTGTGGGGAGTCAGCCTGGGAGATGCTAGGCCAGAGAAGAGATCATGATTATAGTAGATTTTAGTAGAAATACATTTTAGCAGAGCTGGAGCAGGGTGTGAGGTGCAGCAAAGCCAGGAACCTGAGTTTGAACTCAAATATATTCTTTACTGACTTTTTGCTGTGCTTTGGAGCCAAACCAAAGAGAACTGACCAGTGCCCATCCTGCCAAGCTCAACTCGGATGGGAAATTCCAGCTGGAATTCTTGATTTTTTTTTTTTTCTGTTTCAGAAAGCTTCCTTTCTCCATAGCTGTAAATAAAATCAAATTATAATCTTAACAACGAGGATAATTTCAGTCACCCTTATTCGGGAAGAAATGGCTCATTTTTGAACAATATAATTCTGTTTTAAGAACAGATTTTTGGGCTTTATTATGTTTATTTGTAGCAGCTTTCTGAAGATGTATCTGATTGACTTCCATATTTAACATCACAGCCTCTTAACTGTATTTTTGAGGATTATGGGCATTAAAACTTTCAAAAACCTTTCAGCAGTTAGTTAATAGCAAAAATGAACAAAGCACCCTCTTAATAACAAACTGCAGGCACCTTTCAATAAAGTTACAGTTTCAGCAGAAAAAAAATGTAGATTAAAAGGAAACACCTGCTCCTGTAAATTACTGTGCTGCAGGTACCAACCCAGGAGACTCTGCAGATGGTTCTGTATCTGCAAACCTGACCTCACCACCCCTTCATCAATCTCACACCGATTGATTCTCTCCAGAGCAGGACACACCACATCCCAAGGTACTAGAAGACACCTTTGTATTAAATTAGTTCCAGACAGAATTCCAGTTAATTGGCATTTCTGTTTCGTGTTGGAAGTTCTTAACAAAGGATTTGATTGTCTGATCAAGCATTAGCACCGACTGAAGAATGGTACAGCCAGTTCCAGGGAGAGCTGCAAAGGGAATTGTGCTGTAGGAGGTGAAGTCTTTGCTGCATTCCTGCCTGATTGGGAGTGTGGATTAAGGTGTGCTATGCCCTAGGATTTTGAGATGGACAAAAAGAAAGTGGGATCTTGATCCTTAGAACATTGCAATATGAATTCATTGCTTCTGTTAGCCTTTCCTGCCAGCCACAGAAAAGCACGAGGTATCCTAAGTTCTGTGTTCATTTGTTTTTA